TAGACACACCCAACATGTTAATTATTTTATTATGCTGAAGAATGAGGTTTCTAAATAAGGTGGGATTTATCAGAGATATAGTCATGCGTGTGTCAGTTAAGGCAGTTGTAAGCTCATGGTTTATTATTATATGAATCTCTTCCAATTTGTTTGTCAGGGTAGAATATTTGGAGAAGTGAAACCCCTGTACTTTCTCAGAGCATCCTAGTCTTCCTGAGTTGCATTCTTCTGCCTTTTCTTTTGTTTCAGCCTAAGACAGTCTCTCTTAAGGTGTCCTGGTCTTTTACAGTAGTAACAGACTGGGAGGCAAGAGTCTTCAGACAGAGGGAGCTTAAAATCTTTCTGGGGCTGAGAGATTTGAGAGGTTAACTGCTTTAGCTGTAAATGCATAACCCGGGCAATCTTCTGTTTCTCCTTTTTTTCATCATAGTGCAGGATATTTGATTAGCTAAGTTAACTAGTTCATTAGTCCAATCATGGCCCACTTTGTCATGTGGCATTTTATAAGGGTGGCTAAATCATCATCCAGTCTGTTTAAGAAATTTGCATTTTATAATGTATCATTTTTTATTGTTTTCAAAGCAATGAGCTGACATCCTGCAATACTGTCTTAACGTTTTATTGAAATGTGTTAAATAATTTAAAACTGATTCATTTGGGTTCTGGCAGCATTGTCGAATTTTATCCCAATTCACAACCCTTTGGAACACTGAAGGAAAAATATTTAACAGAGCGGTCACTCATTCCCATGCCTCTTTATGCCTGTCTTCTGGGTTTTGGGGGGTGGGTTGGTTGTGGCTCTATTGGGCCTTCAGGGGTTAAATCTGCTATAGGGTCTGACTATTGTGCTTTTTCCCAGCAATTCCTTAGCTTTAGCTTCTGAGACCAACATGTGGACTAGCTGATAAAAGTCTGAATGACTTGGGTCATAGCTTCTGATAATGATCTCATATTTTTGGGCAAACCCAATTGGATCTTCATGGAGGTCAGGAAATTCTTTAACTATGCCTCGTAATTCAGCCTTTGACCAGGGTTGGTAAACAATTGGCAGGGATCCCCTACCTGTTACAGGTTGTTCCTGAAATGGGGCAATCATGAGAGATGTCCCTGCCGGCTCCCTCTTTTTCACCCAGATGAGATGCTGCCATTGCGGCTGTCAGGGAATCGTCAGGGAGTGGGGTCTTTGAAGTCAGACTACTGTTGAGTGGTAGACATGGAGGACAAGGGGGGAACAGATCTTATCAGGGAAGTTCAGAGAGGTCAAGGTAGAGTGAAGGTGGAGATGGAGGTAGAGGAGGTGCCAATAGCTCTTTAAGAGAGAGAAAAGATTAGAGAGTTTGTTTTTTTCTTGTAAATTTGTTTGAGTTCTTTGTAGGTTCTGGATATTAGCCCTTTGTCAGATGAGTAGATTGCAAAAATTTTCTCCCATTCTGTAGGTTGTTCTTGATGAGCATTTCTAAGTTTTTCGTTGGCCTCCTGTAGGGAGATGAAGCAGTCTTCCTCCCTTTTGTGACTCTCCAGATACCATTGAAAGTAGCTCCCCCATTCTGGTTACTTAGTTTTTGTGCCTGCGTTTTCCACCCTGGTTCACAGGTACACTAATTTGGGCATATCAAAAGATCCCCATTTAGGTCATGGTAACTTAGAATCTGCTTTAGTTATTGTAGTCCACTTGGTTAAATATTTGCATGACTATTTGCCACAATACCCATCTGGAGTTTCTGAAGGGAGAACTTTATGTTCTTCTAGGGTCTTAGAGACCTCATTCTCCATAATTTAGAGTTCCTTTTTGGATTTCACCAAGTTGGGATGTATGTTGGACCCCAAATGTGCTGCTTGTAGACCTAGCTTTTCAGGGCCATCACACCCTGAACTGGTTTAGTCCACCCATATCACGGATACCTGGCATATGTGTCAGGGGCCCAAGGTGTGGGAGGGGTCAACTCCTTATATGCACCTGTCAGTTGAGATTAGACCCAAAGTATGTTCTCCTGAGGGGGAAACCTATTCAGAGGCACTGAACATCTTAGAGGGTGTTTCTCTCCGTCACCCTCACATGATTCTCAGTCACCTGAGAATGCCCCAAAAGGCTGAGAGGAGCAAGGTGCTCTTATTTCTTTTTCAGAGTGGAAAATTCCACCCTCATGAGCTAGAGGGTTTGGAGTTGGTCAAATCTGATAGGGGAAAGAACCAACACACACACACACACACACACACAACAAACAAAACTGGCAACAAACAACAAAATCGCTAACCAAACTAACAATAATGACACAAATTATATGATTTCTGAGTGCTCTGTTAGCGGGAAATTAACACCAGCTGATTGTTGATGCGAATTTTAGTCATTTAAAAGAATTTGCAAGGCAGAATCCCAAACCCGTTCTTTACTTAGTGATGGAGATCCAAGCTGAAGTCTGCTTTCTGCTGATACAAAAGCAGACAGGCTCACCTTCCTTGATGGAAATGAGTGGCAAATCCCACAAAAAAAAGGAGATTTTTTTTTGTTTTTTTTTTGTTTTTTTTTTTTAACAGCAAATAATAAACCTCAGACCCCTAGATCCCTGAAAAACTTTGGAAGATCAGGGATCCCTGGAGGAAAGAGGTCCTGGACTTCAGAAAATTGTCCTGTTGGTTTGGGCTATGAGGTGCCCAAGCTGGTACCAAACACCGAGAGATGAGAGACTACAGGCTGGGTCACTTTCACTCAGGATCCCTCCATGGTTACTAGATGTCAATAGAGAAGAATGATGAGACAATACTCAATCATTTTAGGAGATTTATTTGCCAAAGTTAAGGACGCGCACCAGGAGATAGGTCTTTGCCTTTCTCCAAAGATGATTTTGAGGGTTCTAAATTTAAAGGGGAGATGGTAGGATATTGAGAAGTACACAATTTTCATGTAAGGGGTGGGTAGGGAAAAATAGTCATTCACACCTTTGTCTGGCTCAGTGAATCGGAGTCTCGCTCTATCACCAGGCTTGAGTGCAGTGGCGCGATCTTGGCTCACTACAGCCTCTGCCTCCTGGGTTCCAGCAATTCTCCTGCCTCAGCCTCCAGAGTAGCTGGGGTTATAGGCACGTGCCACCATGCCCAGCTAATTTTTGTATTTTTAGTAGAGACAGGGTTTCACCATGTTGGCCAGGATGGTCTCAATCTCCTGACCTTGTGATCCACCCACCTTGGCCTCCCAAAGTGCTGGGATTACAGGCATGAGCCACTGCGCCAGCCAATCTGCATTTTTTATATAAGATGACATAAAACAAATGGAGCAGAGAAAAAAATGCAGGGAATCTGCATTTTTACATAAGATAACATAGACAAAATGGGGCAGATATGCATTTATGTCTGGTGGACTGGGGGTGACTGCACCTGTAAAATTAAGCTATCAGTTTGCATTGCCACCACAAAATTTTAAGAGCTCATTAGGAATTTCCTTGTGGGCAACATATGGGGGCGGTGTGTAGCTTTCCATCTTGTAGCCAGCTCATTTAGGAACCAAAAGGGAGAGGCAGGTTTGTGCGACCCAGTTCCAAGCTTGACCTTTCCCTTTGGTCAAATGAGTTTGGGGTCCCCAAATTTAATTTCCTTTCATAATAACATAAAATTCTTCTCCAAAGCAACAGTAACTACTTAATATCATCAAGTATTGTGCTCATTTTTCTCTCATACTCCAATAATTTTTTTAGAGTTGGTTTAAATCATACTATTTAATATGTTAACACTTCTAATACTTGACCTTTCATATCTCTTTCCTTGTTTGTTTTCTCTTGGTAGCATTTCCCAAGAATATATTATGTATTTCATTACTTATTGTGTTTAGCATCTGTCTGACAAGCAAACAATAACTGGTGTAATAATTAGCTGTCAAAATAATTGCTGAATAAATGAAGAGCTTGGAGCTTGATAGCAAGTCCTTTATTTTGCTAATGCATTATAAAAGGTATAAGAATAGATGGACTGGAGTCTTGTGATGACCGGTAAACCTTCCCTCGCCACACTTCTCTTTCCCCTTCTCCCTTTCCCTTCCCCCAGCCCGTGTGTGTGTGTGTGTAAGTGTGTGTGTGGGTGTGTGTATGTTTGTGCATGTGTCTGTCTGACTCTCTCTCTTTCTCATTTCCTCCCTCTCCACAATGGACATGTCTAGGTGAGGGATGCACAAATGTAATGCTTTAAATAAAATGTAATGGTTTAAATTCAGATTAAAAATATAATACTTGTAAACTGAAGGCAGGAATAGGACAAGCAGAATTCAAGGGCCCATTGCAGCCGGTAGATATAATCCATGGAAGGATTTCTCTGCCTGTCTAGAATTGCTCTGAAAGCCTTTCCTAAAGGAAATCTTGGTTTGAGGATAGAGAGTACAAAGGTGACCATATCTGGTATAGTGATCCCTGTCCTTCCCAGGGTTGACCTTTCAAGGGGGCGGAATTACAAGCTATTCTCAGTTTGTGCTTTGGGGAGATTATCAAAGTATCACCAGGGCTATTTTATGATACACATTCAGAATCATAGTCTCTGTGTTTGAATTTCAGTCTCCAGGTACAGACCCAGAGTGACTTCCAGAATTAGAACACTAGTAGCTCCTCTTCATGAACGTTATGGTCTAAAGAGGCCCTCAGAGAGGGTAGATCAGTTTCCCTTAAGGATTTGCTCTCAGGGACATCTTGAGCTTGGGACACTAGCTAGAGATTTTCAGCAGGTTTCTGGGGAAAATGGGGGCATGGAGATGGCACTATGAGGTAATAGAGGCAGCTGGAAGGGAAGTAGAGTACCATAAGTTCAGACAGCTCCACAAAAGACAGGCAGTTTCCTTGGGGATGGAGCCTTCATTAACGTGGTTTACTGAGGCTCCTGTCATTCCTGGCTCTTAGTAAGGATTTTCCAGATAGGACAGCTGTGATTACACAGGCAGAGAAAGATTACAGATCAGGTTACCAACCCCCACCTACTGACTCAGGTAGTTTGATAGGGTGAGGGCAGATTAACGCATGGAGCATGCACCCAGGGAGGAGGGGCAGAGGGAAAGAGAACGAACAGAAGGGCAAGAGAATTGGCAGAATCCTCTCTCCTACGTCTTCCTAGGCCCACAGCCGGTGCCTTTGGCGCACTGAGGTGCGCAGAGTCCCTTAGCCAGGCGCAGGGCGCGCAGCCCAGGCTGAGATCCGCGGCTTCCGTAGAAGTGAGCATGGCTGGGCAGCGGGTGCTGCTTCTAGTGGGCTTCCTTCTCTCTGGGGTCCTGCTCTCAGAGGCTGCCAAAATCCTGACAATATCTACACTGGGTGAGTGCTTGGCCGGAGAATTCCCAGACAGGCGCGTCCCGGATACCCGCACTGCCAGGGCTCCAGCGAACCGCGCTTGATCAGAGTCATCCAGGCGATTTTCCAGGCTGGGCTTGCGGACCCGGCTGGAGGAGGGAGAAGCCCATCCAGTTGTGGGGCAGAGAGGGGCCTCTATTGCTGAGGTGGGGAAGATAGTTTTGGAGAAAAGAGACTCTCCTTTCCTCTCTCTTCTTGTTCAGGACGCGCTCCCCATCCCGCAGGGTTGGGGCCAGAAATTTGAGACCAGGACCAGAGCTTGAGTTCCTGCGCTGCCTTCTCCAGAGCGCAGTGGGACTTTCAGAGGCTCACCCTAAGCTCCATGGGGCGGGGGTGCGCAGTAGCTTCCAGTAGAAACGGTGGTGAGCGTTTTCAGGCTCTTGGAGACCAGGGAAAGGCGCTCCTGAGGGCAGCACCGCAAATGTGAAGCTGCGTCCGGAGCCAGGGTGGCGCAGGCAGGTATTTCATGGCTGCAAGGCCAGTGGAGTGTTTTCCTCCACGGGAAACCTGGAGAACTGCCCAGGGCTGAGGAGAGGACCCAGGTCATTCGGATCTTTTGGAGCCTCATTCCTTTTACCTGTGCCGCTGACCGTTTTTGCGGGATTCATGGAACTGTTAATTCAGCATTTTGGGCCTCAGTTTTATTTCATTTTTATTTCAAAGGAAGTAGAAGATGAAAGAGAATTATATATGAGCTCGATCCGAGGATCGAGCCTCCCCAAGACTTTATTTCAATCCGTAGTGGGCTCTAATGGAGTCCTTTTAGATCACGGAGAATCAGGGCTTGTAGAGCTGGAAGGAACCACGGATCATCTAATTTAGTGTCCACTTTGGTTTTCTGAGAGGGCAACTGAGGGACAGGAAGTGAGATGCCTTTCTTAAGAGCCCACGAGGCCTCCCTAATGTCCCATGAAGAATTGTTTAGGGTTTCTTACCCCAAGACCACGCTCACCATAACTTCTGCTCTGAAGCCCTTTTCACTAAGGATTTTCAAAAATCACTAAGAAACCGTGTTAGTCCTTTGCAACAGAGCTTCTTGACTTCTTGAAAGTACACCGTCCTCCTTCCTCAGACTCCAAAAGGAAGCTGGTGTCATTTCTGAATCCAGGGGCTGGAATCCTGGTCTTTGCCCCAGAAAGCCATTTGACCTCTTAAGACTCACTATGAATGGCTGTTTCTGTGAGGACCCCTTCTTCCCGATTCCCTGTTCTTACATGAATTAAAATTTGAGCAAGACCTGTTGCAGATTTGTACTTTATACATCCCTCGTTGCTTTAGACTATTCACGTCTGGGTATAAGTAAACCGAGTCATTCAGAGAGCTGCACAGTACTTCTCTACTCCCCTTCCACCTCCATCCTCAAACTCTTGGCATTTTTCTATTAATTTCTCTTCTGATCTTCCTTTTTTTTTTGCTGCTGAGACCCTTAGATTCTAGTGAAGGATCTTCTAAGAGAAGATATTAACGTGATAAAATTTTTACCTCTTTTGAGGACCAAGCTTCTCTTTCCTTAGCGTGGTAGGGTTTTCCTAGAATCAGTGATTCCTTAGTTTTTGGTGCAATCAGGATCTTGTAGGCCCACCCCAGGGGCTCCACAGTTGTCCTCAGGTATCTTAATTATAAGTTGAATACTGGCCAAATTGAGTAATTTCCTGCCAAATACATTTGAATCACAAAGATTTGGGCTCTAAGTAGTAGCTTCTGTCCAATGGCAGTTTCTTAGACTCACCTTGGAACTTCTATATTTCTGTCTGCTACAGTAGCATACTTTTCCAGAATAGAATGACAGATAGCTCTGACTGATTGCTCATTAGGAACTCTTCATACTAATGTTGACACTACTGTGCTGTATTTTCTATCATTGCAGTTATATTTTGGAGACAGTGTCTCTCTAAGGCCCCAATTAACATGCAGTATGTACCTTACGATGAGCAACTTTTACAGGCGTAATCACAGAGAAGCTCGTTATACTGACACAGAGACTTTGAGCCACAAATGGAAATCTTTGATGGAGGATTGCCACAGATCCTGCACATAGGACAGGAAGGCTTTGGGTGCATGTGCCGGGCATTACCCAAAGTGAGATTGAGGAACAGGAAGCGCTTGTGTCCATCTGCTCACTGTTCACCTTTCCTCTTCCCTAAACTTTTTCTGCTGAATTTCCATTCCCTCCTGCCAACTCCCATATTGTCATCAGAAACTCTATTTTCATCTGTACAGAATGACATTGTGCATTGTTTCTAGGTGGAAGCCATTACCTACTGTTGAACCGGGTGTCTCAGATTCTTCAAGAGCATGGTCATAATGTGACTATGCTTCCTCAGAGTGGAAACCTTTTAATCCCAGGTATCTTTTTAAAAAACTAATTGTTATATTCTTTTACTCTAAGAAAAAAGTGATAATATCTTTTTTTATAGAGCTGCATAGTAAAATCTTTTTTGAATGTAGTCTTATTTCGGGATGAATAAATGTGTGTGTGGGTGTGTGTTCATGTTAAGTATTGGAATTCTTATTGGGGTCTGTAGACTAAGACTTCACATGCCATACTTCTGTGTTTTACCACTTACCTGAGTGTCATCCTATTCTAGAAAACTTTCCACACATTATTATTAGTAATTTTGAGGAACACTACACAATAGTATGGCTTAAATTTTTTTTGAACAGAAATATTGTGCCATATTTCAAGCTTTTATTATGTAAGTATAGAAGTTCTTCCTATCCCACAGGTTACTTTCTATTCTTGAGAGACTTGAAATTTAGGAAAGATTTCCCAGGGAGCCTCTTAATTATGAACTGAGATGGGAATATATGATTAACATGACCTCATATGCTTGAAAAATTTGTAGCTATACATAAATTGTGCATAATGATGTCAAAAGTGCTTAATTGATTCATTACCTCCAAAGAATGGTAACTAAAATGAAACTCACCAAATTCTGTTGACAGACAAGAAGGAGGACCAGAGAACTTAAATAATTTGTTTAATGTCAAATGAGAAATTAATAACAGAGTTGGGTGAATCTGGGTCTTCAGGTTCTGAGTTTCTCATTCTGAGGGTTTCTGAAACTTTGAACAACATCAAAAATTAACCATCTTGAGAGAAAAAGTCTGAGTCATTATAAAATTCTGAAGGTAAACTTCAGGCCTTGTTAATGTTCAGATAGTTTTAATGCACTCTTGATCACCCTCTAGATTGAGTTTCAGAATGTTCATTGAATATCCTTTTTATACATTTCCCTTTGTGTCTGCCTTATAGTCAATCTGATTTCTCAGCAGTAATATATTGTCATCTTATTTTGGTGGTTCCAATAGCCTTTGAGAAACTGCTGAAAGCTATAGACCCTCTACTTTAACAGACCATGCACGCCAAAATCTACAAATGATTCTGTGGCTCCATGGATCTGTTCAGTTTTATCTTCGGGTTCAAGTGTTGGGGTTCAGTTGTTCTGGAGTTTCTTTCAGTATTTCTCAATCTTTGGACAGTTCTGAGGTTGAGATGAAATATTCTTTCTTCTATTTTGCAGTCGTATTTGGGTAGAGCTCTGAAAATAGGAAGAACACTTGATTGGGTTGGTTTTGATAGTCTGATAGCCAAATCAGTGTATTGAAATATTTCAACATTTGTTAACTACATGTTTCCATCACTTCCTTATTTAAAACTTTAATAACTGAATGACTTCAGGGATACTGAAGAAGTGTAGGTTTCTTGTGCTCACATGTAATATTTTTCCAATTCATAACTGAAATATCAAGTATAGGATAGCAGCCTAAAGGAGAACATAATTATTTGAGGTTCTGACTCTTTTTCCTTTTAAAAAAGATTTATACTTTTTTATTGCTGCATAATAGATGTACATATTTTCAGGGTACATGTGATAACTTAATACATTTATATAATTTGTAAGGATCAAATCAGTGTAATTGGGATATGCATGACCTTGAATATTTGTTCTTTCTTTATTCTAGAAACATTCAAATTATTCTCTTCAAGCTACTTTGAAATATACAATACATTATTGTAAACTATAGTCACCCTACTTATCTTTCAAACACAAGATCTTATTTCTTCTGTAAAGCTATAGCTGTGTACTCATTAATCAACCTCTATCCATCTCCCCTCTACACTACCATTTCTGGTCTCTAGTAATCACCGGTCTACTCTTTACTTTCATAAGATCCACTTTTGTAAGCTGCTACATATGGATGAGAACATGGGATATTTCTCTTTCTATGCTTGGCTTATTTCATTTAATATAATGGCCTCTAGTTCAATCCATGTTGCTGTAAATTACAGGATTTCATTATTTTCTATAGCTGAATAATATTTCATTGTGGATTTAAATCACGTTTTCTTTATCCATTAGTCCACTGATGTGCACTTAGGTTGATTGCCTTATTTTGGTTATTGTAAACAGTGCTGCAATAAACCTGAGAATGCAGCTATCTCTTCGACATACTGACTTTCTTCTTTTGGATTGTATATCCAGTAGTGGAATTGCTGCATCATATGGTAGTTCTGTCTTTAGTTTTTTGGAGATTCTTAGTAGAGTTTTCCATAGCGGCTGTACTAATTTACAGTGTATGAGGGTTCCCCTTTCTTGACTTTCTTGTCAGCATTCATTATTCCCTGTCTTTCAGATAAAAGCCATTTAACTGTGATGAGATGATATCACATTGTGATTTTGATTTGCATTTTTCTGATGATAAATAATGCTGAACATTTTCTTATATACCTGTTGGTTATTTTGAGAAATGTCTATTCAGATCTTTTTCCTATGTTTAACTAAATTATTTGCTATTAAGTTGTTTGAGCTGCTTATATATTCTGGTTATTAATCCATTGTGAAATGAATAGTTTGCAAATATTTTCTCCATTCTTTGGTTTGTCTTTTCATTTTGTTGACTGTTTCCTTTGCTGTGCAGAAGCTTTTTGGCTCAATGTAATCCCATTTGCTATTTTTGCTTTGGTTGCCTGTACTTTTGACGTCTAACTAAAAAAGTCTTTGCTGAGACCAATATCTTGGAATAGTTCCTCAATGTCTTCTTCTAGTAGTTTCATAGTTTTAAATCTTAGAATTAAGTTTTAAATCCACTTTGACCTTATTTTTTTGTATGGTGAGAGATAGTGGTTTGGTTTTATTGTTTGTATCTATCCAGTTTTACAGTTTCTCCAGCATCATTTATTGTAAAGACTGTTCTTTCCTCATTGTATGTTCTTGGTATCTTTATTGAAGATAAGGTCACTATACATGTGTGAGTTTTTATCTAGGCTCTTCTGTTCCGTTGGTCTATGTGTTTGTTTTCATGCCAGGACCATGCTGATTTGGTTACTATATGTTTGCAGTGTATTTTGAAGTCATGTAGTTTGATGCCTCTGGCTTTAATCTTTTTGCTGAGGATTGCTTTGGTTACTTAGGATCTTTTATGGTTCCATATACATTTTATAATTTTTTTTCTATTTCTCTGAATAATGTCATTGATAATTTGATAATAATTGCATTGAATTTGTAAGTTTGCTTTGGATAGTTTTGGCATTTTAACAACATTTATTCTTCTAGTCCATGAACAAGGAACAGCTTTCAATTTCTTGAGTCCTCTTCAATTTCTTTCAGTGGAGTTTTACAGTTTTCCATATATATCTTTTACATCTTTTGTTAAATTGATTTCTAGGTATTTTATATTTTTTTGTAGCTATTATAAATGGAATTTCTTTATTGCTCTCTTTCAGGTTGTTTGCTGTTGGCACATGGAAATGCTACTGATTTTTGTATGTTGATTTTTTAATCCTGCAACTTTACTGAATTTGCTTATGAATTCTAATAGTTTTTTGCTAGGGTCTCTAAGTTTTTTAAGTATAAAATCATGTTTTCTGTGAACAAGGCTAATTTGACTACTTCCTTTCCAATTTGGATGTCTTTATTTCTCTTGCCTAACTTCTCTGTCCAGAACTTCCACTATGATGTTGAATAAAAGTAATGGAAGTGGGCATCCTTGTCTTATTTCAGATCTTAGCTATTTTCAATTTTTCGCTATTTGATATGATGTTAGTTGTGGTGTCTCATATATAGCCTTTATGATTTTGAGGTATGTTCCTTCTATACCTAGTTTGTTGAGGTTTTTTTTTTTAAATCATAAAAAGGTGTTGGATTTTGCTGAATGCTTTTATGCATCTATTGAAATGATTATATGGTCTTTGTTCTTGGTTCTGTTAATGTGATGTATCATGTTTGTTGATTTGCATATGTTGAACTACCCTTGCATCCCTGGGATAAATCTCACTTGATCATGGTGAATGATGTTTTTAATGTGTTGTTGAATTTGATTTGCTAGTATTTTGTTGAGGATTTTGCATCTATCTTCATCTGTTATATTGGCCTATAGTGTTTTTTTTTTTTTCTTATTATGCCCCGGTCTGATTTTGGTATCAGAGTATGGCTGGTCCTATAGAATGAGTTTGAAAATAGTCCCTGATTTTTAATTGTTTTGAAGTCTTTGAGTAGAATTGGAATTAGTTATTTGGATGTTTGATAGAATTCATCAGTGAATTCATCAGGTCCTGGGCTTTTCTTTAATGAGAGACTCTTTATTATGGCTTTGATCTCATTCTTCATCATAAGTTTGTTGAGGTTTTCTATTTCTTCATAGCTCAGTCTTGGTAGGTTTTATGTGCCTTGGAATTTATCCTTTTCTTCTAGGTTTTCCAATTTGTTGGCATATTGTTGTTTGTAATAATATAGAGACTTTTAATGATACTTTGTATTTCTGTGGTCTCAGTTGTTATATCTTTTTTTCTGTTTCTGATTTTATTTTTTTGATCTTCTTTTTATTTTTTAGTCTGGTGTATTAGTCTGTTTTCACATTGCTGTAAAGAACTACTTGAGACTGGGTAATTTATGTAGAAAAGAGGTTCAATTGACTCACAGTTCCACAGGATGTATAGGAAGTGTGGCTGGGAGGCCTCAGGAAACTTACAATTGTGGCAGAAGGTGAAGGGAAAGCAAGCACATCTTACCATGGTGGAGTAGGAGAGAAAGAAAGCAAGACAGGAAGTGCTACACACTTTCAAACATCCAAATCTCATGAGAACTCAGTCACTGTCACGAGAACAGCAAGGGGAAATCTGCACACATGATCCAATCACCTCCCACCAGGCCTCTTCTCCTACACTAAGGATCACAATTAGAGGCGAGGTTGGGTGGGGTCACAAAGCCAAGCTGTGTCATTCCACCCCTGGCCCATTCCAAATCTCATGTCCTTCTTATAATTCAAAACAAAACCATGCCTTTTCAACAGTCCCTCAAAATCTTAACTCATTCCAGCCTTAATTCAAAAGTCCAAGTCCAAAG